AGCACCAGCAGTGTGGGCCCAGGCTGGAGATGCGGTTGTCAAACACTTTAGATTGGATCTCAACACTTGGGAAAAGGACTAGAAGATTCTCTCACAGGCAAAGTCAGAAGGAAATTTCTTCTTTGTTAAGCCGGTAGCCTCCTCAAGGGCAGATTGGAGTGATTCACCGGTATAGGATGGTTTGGGTGTAGATTTGGGGGTTTTGCTTCATTTGGATGGAGCATCTGAAGTCCTGATCCTAACCTACTTATTAATATGGATATATCAGAAATGACTGAAAACTTTTCTTTTAATGAGAAAAGACTCACAACCTCTCTATTTGGCTACTTTCATGGAAACCAGGGATTTAATGCTTAACTTTGTCCCACTATATTAGCCCTTTCCTCCTCCACGTAGTTTGCTAATATCCCTTAATGGTTAAGAACTCAGACTCAGAAGCCAGAGTGCACTCGAGATGTGTGTTGTTATGCTGGGCCATGTGAATTCAGGCCCAGTGGAAGCTGCGACAGCTTACCTTGAGATTTAAATGGAATTGGCACAAACTCCAGCCGACATGCAGTAGGAATAACACACATGTCTCTTCCTATGTCTCTGGGAATTCTGAGAGTATGATTTTTGCTTTTCCAGGTCACTTCTGGCTCCAAGCCTCTTGGTTCCTGCTGAATTAGTCGATCTGTGATCGTCTTGCTGCTTAGCATGCAGTCCCTATCTACACCATGTTGCTACAAAAAGAGAAAAGAGACCCCTTCCTTGTCATCTCTCACAAAAACCACCACGGGCATAAAGCTTTTGTGTATGTAGTAGAACCGTACTAAAGGCTGGAAGCAATAGAGGGGTCTTATGTTACAGAGTCGCAGAGCGAAGAGCCATAAATCTTTTAGCTGTTAACCCTCTTCTTAAAAGTACTTTGGCTGACCTCACTCATCACCTATTCAGTCAAGGTTCTTGGTTCCAAGCAAGAGGCATGGAACTTTTGGCTGATTTAAGCAGGAAAGGAATCTCAAAAAGGACTGAAGAACCAGGTTGGAAATCTGTGTCTCCAAGAATGACACATGGAATCACGCTGCAGAACTGGTGCAGTGAGGAAGCTTCAGCTGCCACCACTGGGCACCAAGCTGCATCACAGCTTGCACAACTGACAGCAGAGGGCATTGCTGCTCTAACTGATGCCATGGCTACTGCTGCTGTTGCCACCCTTCTCCAGAATGTATTCTCTGCAGTCACTGGTTTGTGGCATCATTAGTCCCCTATTCAAAATTTAGGGGGGGTGCCTCTCATTGGTGTTGTGTAAGTCACAGGCCCGGGTCTAGCTGCAGGAGAGGCTGGGAAAGCAGTCTCTCCCTGTAAGGGAAGGGACTCTCAAATCCAAGGATGCAAGTTGTTTATGGCAAATGTTCTCTATATCAGTGCTTCCTGAACTTTAATGTGCTTATGAGCCATCTGGGGATCTGCTTAAAATGCAGATTCTGATTCAGTAAGTCTAGGGTGGGGCCTGAGATTCCACAGCACCCAGGTGATGCAAAGTTGCTGGTCTGAGGACCTCACTTTGAGTAGCAAGGCTCTATAGCCAAGATTTTCAAACTTGATTGCATATTGGAGTAACTTGAGAAACATTTTTTTAAAAAATACCAATGGCTAGGTCTCACCCTCAGCTGATTTAGCTCTTCGTCTGGGGTAAGGTCTGGGAATAAGAACTTTTAAAAGCCTCCAGATGATTCCAATGTACTCAGAGAGCATCTTTCACTGCAGGTTCCAACTTTCTGTCACTTTGCAAGGTTATTTCTTCTCTCCAAATTCCCCGATTTCCACACTTCCAGGCTTGCTTGGTTTCCCCCTTCAAATTCAATTACTCTCACTTATTATGCAGAACAATTTGACACTCCACTCCCTAGTTCCTTGGGCCTAACTTTGCATATCCAAAGACTATAAAGAGTTCTCCTAATCCAATATTTTCCGAAAGTATGTTATCTGTTGCCCTGGGAGAGTGTGATCTGAAGTGATCCATGGACAAATATTGTTTTTTAGACAACGAGTCAGTTTTTTAAAAAATTAGGTAAATAATAATATAGATATGCAGAACAGATACAACAAAAATCATGAAAATAGTCTGCAAATGAATGAAGTTTGAGTGTGCTTATACTAATTGTAAGCCTTCTATCCAAAGTCCCAGGCTTTCAGAGCACAAAAGCATTGGAAGAGGAGTTAAAAAATGTCAACCTTTTTTCCTTCTCCCTTCCTTACAGTCTCTGGAGGATAAGAAAGCAATATAGAGGTTTATTTCTGAATTTATATGAATCATGCCACCAAATTTAACACATTGAAATGATTAGTCAATTTTGATCTTAAATAACAATTCTTTCTCTCTCTATTCAGTGAAGATTTCATAAGATTTCAAGAAAATACCACAACCTTTGAAAAAGTCATGATCTAAACAAAAACAGTTATAAAAATTGCTTATGGAATATGAAATATGAAAAATGGGTTAAATTCCCTAACCAGGTAAATTTTGACAAGAAAACTAGTGAAATATTTTAGAATTGTTGAAAGCTAATCCACAAATCCAGAGCCCAAAAACTCCTCAGCAAGAGAAATTTTTAAAACTCTACACCTTGTCACATGATTGTGAAATTTCAGAACATCAAAGAAAAATAGATCTTAACCAGCAACTAGATTGATAGCAGATTTCTCAGTAGCAACTGAAACCAGAAGATAATAAAATAATATGTTCAATATTCTGAGAAAAAAAGACAATTGTAAACCTAGAATTATATATCCACTAGAATTATCTTCAATGAACAAGGGCAAAATGAAAGTATTTCAGGTGAGGAAAAACCTGAGAGTTTACCACATCATACTCTCCTTAAAGGGAATTGTATACTTCAGGCACAAGAAAAATAATCCAGAAGGAAGATTGGAGATATGCAAAGAAATGGTAAGCAAAATGTTTTTACACGTGTGGGTGAGTCTAAAAAACACATCTAATTTATAGGAGGAAAACAGAACTAATGTAGTGAATAATAATAATAGCTTATTAATTGGGAGGGGATGTGCAGAGTTAAAAATTCTAAGGCCTTTGAATTATTCAAGAGGAGAGTAAAGATATTTATTAGACTTGAAGTTTACATGTTAAAATAGAATAATCACCTTAAACTATACATGGAATGTATTACTCCAAATAAGTTGAGAGAAAACGAAAAGACACACAATCTAAAAGAAGCTTCTTCTGTAAGTTTTTGGCATTTTAATCTTCTTTGCTGTCTGCCATTCTCATTCGTGTAAATAACATTATATAATTTTTTATTGTGAGCTTATCTTTAAAGGGTCCTTTTCTTATGAGAATCCCTTTCAGCCTTTCATGGAAGCATCCCTCCAGGTTGGTTTGATGTCTATTTCTGCCAGGCATTCCAGATGCACCTTGTCTGGGATCTTTTGGGGCAGGAAGTGGGAGTTGGGGGAATTAATTTCTAGATCTTGAGATTCTAACAACACGTAAGTGCTATAAATTTAAACTCCAAACTCTTGCAAAATGCAGGTGTAGGGTTTCAAAATTTCATAGAGCTAAATAACTTTTTCTTTTCATCCAGAAGTGGAACAAGCTTCCTCATCTGCTTACCCACGGGGTGTTCTTTCTTTTCCCTAGTCCACTCTTTTCCTGAGGATGACGACTTTCAGGGACAACAGCATTTTGTAGTGTACTGAGTTCCCACTCCCACCACCTACTCCAAACCCTTACCTCCTGCCCCTATACTTCCAGGCCTCAAGTTACAGAGACTAACATCATCTTGCCCTCACTTAGGATGACTGACTGTCTTGGTTTCCCTGGGGCCTGGTTTACAGGGATGTGGGGGTTTTCAGTGCTAAAACCGGGACAGGCCACAGCAAGCTAGTTTTTTGGTGGACCTACGCCCCAGCCCTCGTACTCAGGGCCAGAGAAGAATCAGTTCAACAAGTCACTGCTCTGGTTTTCAATTTATTTTAATTTCTGACATCTTGGGATTTCCCTTCATTTCTTATGGATTTAGCTGCATATTAAAAATAAGGTTAGTTATTATTTTATTCAGTAATGCTCAGTGTTGGTAGTGAAACAGTTTTCAGGTTACAGATGTCCACCACTTTGCTAGCTCACAAAATAACAGTTTAACGACTTTCATCAGTACAAAAGTGAAGTTTGAGAATAAAAGTCATAGTCAGTTACCCCTTTGGGTATAAGGTGCTGAACTGGTTCCCAAAGTTGTGTGATTTGCTCTGCCAACTGCCCCACAGCTCACCCTTGCTCTAGGCCCTGTTTCTCTGACCTTGAGAATGTTCTAGAATTCTCTAGGCAGGCCTAGCTTCTTCTTGTAAGGCCTAGAAGATAAACTCTCCCTCTTACAATTTAAACCCCCTGGAGGAAAAAATGTTTGCCCATTTTGTTTACTCCTGTATCTGGGGTACCTGGCAACTGTAGGTACTTAATAAATGTGTCTGGAAAAGAATGAACGTCCTGAACGCCAAACTCGCATGCCCTACCTTTTATTTCTTCCAATCCAACCCCATCTGCCTCAAACTTGACAGAAGGCATCCAAGTTTCTGGACTTTTGATGTCTCCTTGCCCGTTTTCCACAGACTTGTTTCTATTTTCCATTTCTGTAGGTATTTGAATTGGGGGCCAGCGATAGGAAAATCGTGATCGGGCCAATCCTCTGCGTTCAGGACGCCATTTTGAAACTAGAGCCTAGATACATTAATTTTCTTTTTTTTAATTTTAAGATATATTTAAGTATGCATACCTATTTCAAGTGAGCTTGAACGGCACTTTCAGGGTGATGTGTGTGTCTGTCCGTGTGTGTCAGGGCGGCACCTTCCGGGCTGCACGCTGCCGGCCTACGCGCACCCCCTATGCACCCCCGATCCGGGCGCCGTCGTCCCCCCAAGCCCCCCCGTAGGGGGCGTGGGCGCTGTCACCCATTGGCTGAGGCCGCTCAGACGAGCCCCACTACCCGGCGCCCCGCCGCCACGCCGCAGTCAGCCCGCGCCCCTCAGCCTGGCCGCTCGGGTCTCGGGGCTCGTCCGCCTCGCCACCCGCCTCTGCTCGTCCATCCTCGGCCGACTTCCATCCTCTCGCCCACTCGAAGCGGGCGGGCACCGGCGGACCTACGAGCAGCCCAAAAGCGGTGCCAGAAGCGCGGCCTCTGCTGCTCCTCGAGCCCTATCGGCGGGAACTGCTAGCTGCCGCCATCATGGTGAGTTGAGGAGAGGAGGCCTGAGGGGGCGAGCCCGGCGGGGTCCTCCAGGACGGGGTCCTCCAGGGTGGTCGAGACTCGGATTTGGCGCGGGAGGGGGGCCGAAAGCGGGGTCACTCGGCCTTCCTGTCCTGGCGGCACCGCAGGCCGCAGCCTGACGGGGAGAAGAGGCGGCCGTCGGGCGGCCAGGGCGCGGCCTACAAGGCCCTGAGGGGCAGGCAGGGGGTGGGGGTGTCGTGGGAGCGTGCGGCCCGGGGACCCCGCTGGATCCCTGCCAGCGGACCACGTGCGAGGCCCGCGGCCTTCACGTCCCCCCCACCACCACCACGCCAGGCGCCAGCTAGGCTGCGGCTCGGCCTGGGTTTCCGGCCCGGCCAGGGTTTGGGGTGCGGGCGCCCCACCCCGCCCCCACCCCGCCGGCGGCCTCCCTTCCCGCGCTTCCCCTGGGGGCTGAGGCGGCCTCCGCGAGATGGCGGCGGCCGCGCGGACGCCCCCTGGCGCGGGCTCTCGGAAGGGCTCGTGGTGCCTTTGAGGCGGCGTTTCCCAGGCGGCGGTTCCTTCCCGCCCTAGTGAGCGTGGTGGGGTGCGGGGCCCCTGGGTGGCGTGTGGTGTCGGGTGCGGGCTCCGCGGAGCCGCCAGCGAGGCGTGCGGAGGGCGCGGCCCGGAGCCGAGCGAGGCGCCGGGATGCGGCGCTGTCGCGGGGCCCCTCGTGCCTGCCGCAGCCGCTGCGCCTCCCTCGTGCTGCCGCCTCGGGCAGAGGGCGAGCCGGACGCCATGGTTTCCGCACGAGGCGGAGTGGCCTGGGTTTCTGCGGGAGCGCGGGTTGGAGGGGTTTAGAAATGTCTCAATGGGACGCTTTTTCCCTCTCGATAAACCAGGGACTTGAACCAAAATGTGCGTCCAGTCGCACGTGCTCTTTGGGGTGTGCGTTTGTGCGAGTTTTCACAAACGCCTCGAGTTGGTTGACCACCACGGAGTACAGCTCTGTGAACGCTTCTGACCGACCGTTGTCACAAATGTGTAAATACTGTGTGTATTTCTTTATAGTACAGTTATTATTTTCCATTTTTAGAGGTGAAGAGGCAATTTATATTCAATTTATATTAGTACATATAAATGTAAAAATAAAAATCTAGTTATATATAACTATTATTTGTAATAATTTTGTCACCTAGTTCTCTGTGTTAATAATTATTTAGTAATCACTATGAGTTACTGTAAGTAATTATTTACAATAATTTTTCCTCTCCATTTTTAGAGACAAAGAGGGGAAATGGTAATAGCTTTACTGATTTTTTTCTGATTATAAAAGTAGCATATTAACTCATTTGAAAGGAATCGGTGTGAGAAAGTAGAGGTCCATCTTAATCCCAACTCATGACCAATGTTAAAAGTTTTGATGTATGTATTGCATATAGATAGGTAAGTTTTATTTTACAAAAGTTGTACCGTACTATACAATACTATTTTACAACCTGCATCCTTCAATTAATATAGTGGGCATTATTGCAAAGATAAATTTAAAATAATTTTGAATATATAGAGTATAGGATTGTACCATTATTTTACGAAATTCTCTTATAGTAAATAATTTTTCTATTAAAACAATACTAGAACGAGTATCTTTGTGCAAATGTTTTGGCATGCCTATTCTATTAATTCCTTGAAATAAATTACTAGGAGTGAAATCACTGGGTGAAAGGGTTAATGCCCATTTTATAATAATTTTAAATTATCATCCTTTTAAGTTACTCTTGATAAAGCATTTACCAGTATATATTCCCAGTGATAATATGTAAAGTGATCTCTTCTCCACACTCTTTCCAATGAGAGGTATTATACTTTTTAAAGTTGCTGATCTGATAGCTGGAAAATATTTCACTGTGTTGATATGCTTTTTTTTTTTTTATCATTTGTGAGGTTGAAGTTTGTCATTAGCTTTTTTGTTTCTTTTTTATAAATTCTTAGTCCGCTTTTCTAATGGGATATTTATCTTTTTCTTAATGATTTAGATTAACTGTATATTAATATTAACCCTTTGTCGTATATAGTGGAAAGAATTTATAGTGGTGATAAGGAGATGCCCTTATTCCTATTTCGATGGAAATGTCTGATGTTTCACTTTAAGCCTGATGATAGCTTAGAATTAGATCAATAGAAAAAAAGATTCTTCTATTTCCATTTTACTTGGGATTTTTAAAATTAAAAAAGGAATGCTGTATTTTATCAAATGCTTTTTCCAGGTTGAATTACCGTAACAGATTTCCTAAGAATGAACCATCCTTGCATTTCCAATATAAACTGTATTTAATTGTGTATTTTTTATGTGCTGCTGGAATTTTGCATCTCTGTGTTGGGGGCAAGGGTGGACTATCTTAATCAGGTTTTGTTATTTAGATAGTGCTAGTTTTGTAAAATTCGTTGAGAAGTATTCTTTTTTCCTCCTTTCTCTAAAAATTTTTTTAAGAAAAGCATTTGAATTTTCTTTCTCTTCTATTCCCTCTTTTATCTACCATTTTTTCTGTCTTGGTGCCCCCCCCCATCTACATACACACAAATTATCTGTTTCTTTACAGTTTGGAAAAACTCCTAGTGAAACTAAGTCAGGAATAGAGTATTCTTTGTTTTCTTCAGATTGCTTTTAAAAATTTACATTTCTCTGGCAAGTTAGCCATTTCAGCAAGATTTCCAAATTTACTCCCATAGAGCTTATACATAGCATTCTCTTATAATCAGTGGTTATATCGCCTTTTTCGCAATTAATGAGCGTTTTTTCTGCCTTGCCTTTTTTCTTGCTTAGCTTTGCCAGGATTGTATATTTATTGTTTTGGACTTTTTCCCCCCAAGAGTCTACTCTTGGATTTACTTAAAAGGTTTTATTCTGATTTTCATTTCCTATTTCCTTAATTTCAGCTTTTTTTTGTATTAGTTCCTTCCTTGTGTGGATATAACTCTGATAGCTACAAATTATAGACTTTTTTCCTGGTCAATATACATAGATCTCAGTTTGCTTACATGTAGACAAAATGTTGTCAAAGAGCTGACATCCTAGGAGCTTTAGCAACCATAAGGTTTTTTTTCCAGCTTTTAGTTATCTTTGTTATTTGGTTATCCAAATATAACAGGGAATATATTACTATAAATAGCAGTGATGAGAATTGTATACATGATGGCCTCCAAGTTGACCCCTACTTAATATCCCAGTGTTACTCATTTCAAAACCTGCCAGCTCACTTGAAGGTATATTTAAGAAAAGTAATTACTTAATTTAGTTTACATGCAATTTATTTTCTGTATGCTATTGATAGTTAAGATTAATGCTTTAACATAAAACTTTTTGCTTTAACCTAAGCATTTATTTGTGGAGTATTTTTGGTAATAGTTTAAAAGTGACCAAAGGTTGTCTGTTGGTTGTGAATTTTGTGTATATGAATTATAATTGTATATAAATACACACAGTAGGAGTTCAAAAATCCCTGCTGTTCAGTCTTGTTAAAATGGAGTTCTTTGCTTTCTTTGTTGGCCTTGGGCGCCACCTGCTGGCAGAGGACTAGGACATGATGGTGCCTTCCTTAATTTAAAACATTATGACACTAGTAAAATGATTTGATGAATTTAATATCCCAATCAAGCAGGCAGCCCCAAACCAAACTTCCTATAATATTTAATAACTTTTTTCTTTTCCAAAATAACTATTTGTCTCAAGTATTCATTTTATTTTTGTAAATAGAGTATGAGAATTAGAACTTTCTTCTTCAGCTCTGGCGACACTGTCACAGGGTTTCTCACCTGCAACCTTATTCAAATTTTGGGCCAGATAATTCTTTGTTGTGTGGGGCTGCCTTTTGCATTACAGGGTGTTTATTGTATCCTTGGCCTCTACCCACCAGATACCACAAGCACCCCTCAGTTGTGACAACCAATAATGCCCCTGGGCCACAAAATCTCCCCTAGTTGAAAATCAGTACTATCATAACCTCTTAGAATCTGGCAGTTTTCTGGCCTGATGTTGCATCTGTAAAGTAAATCCATCCATTATGGTTCACAGACAGGTAATACTATAAATAGCTGATCAAATAAAAAGGTGTCCAAAGTTCATCCACAAATGAAGGGGAGATTGAGAAGGAAAAAAGAAAGTCTACCAGAATTTCAGAACCACTGTTCTGTTTTATTTGTGTTTTGGATTTTTGAATGAGCTAGTTGAAAGGTATTGGTAAATTGTCTATAGTGAAGGAAAATCCAGTCAGGTTCTCAATAGTTCAAGATATGTGGCTTATATAGTATAGTCTCATTTAAAAAAAAAATTATCCAACATCAAAAAGTGGAATAAGTTTAGAAGTTTTTTACTCTCTCTCTTCATTGTCATGAAATATTACTGTACTATAGTTAAAGGAAAGAATTAGGAGGTATTCAAATAGAAACACAAAATAGCAAGTATAAGCACAAATTAATACAGAAAAGCCAAAGCACTGAAATTTGATAATTTGACAATTTTGATTTCATCTCTAATTAGTATAGCAGTTTGTGGAATCTTAAATTATCAGTAAGTTCTAGCATCTAACAAAACAGGAACTCTACCTACTGTTTCTTTATTGTTACTAATTTCTATAAAAACTACTGTGCTTACCTTTTTAAAAATATGCATCAGTTGGTTTATTTTGTCCTTCCTTTTGTTTTCCTCCATAAGCAGAGGTGTAATAGCTTTAGCTCTCTCTTGCAGCCTTTTGTATTTACCTCTTATAATCAGTAGGCACTTCATGAGTGAATTTCAAATGAGTGGATATGCCATAAAGTAGTTTCTTGAAGTTCAAACTCAAATTGGTTGTTAATTAATGAAGTATCTACAAAATAACTAAGTAAATAGTAAAATCAGGAAAGAGACTTTTTTTAACCTATTGAAAATAAATTCCTATAACAGGACACTAACTTATATTGGCATACCACATTATACTTTACCAAATGAATTCACAGATGTTATCTTGCTTCATTCGAAAAGCAGTTTTCCCAGAGATAAACATCTGGCAAGTAAGTGGCTTATAACCTGGTCAGGCACATGAACCTAGATCTCCTGACTAAATCACTTTTTGTTTCACTATGCTATACTGCCTTTCTAACGTATATGTTACCAGTAAATTCTGCTTCAGACAAATTTACATTAACTTTAGTGTGGGAAGACTAAAGACAGAGTTCTGACCAGAATCCAGAAAAATAATGAGTTTCGTGTGTCTCTATCTAAAAATAAAGATGGTATCATTTATGTCTATCAGCCCACTGTGAAAATTAGAATTATCAGTGGAACTGACTTGGTGTTATTCAAGAAGAAAAATGTTATTTCAGAAGATGCTTTGAATATCCTAGTATTAGGGAAAAGAATTATAAACCCTTTTTTAGCAGGAGCTACGATATGTGAGCAAATAATGTTTTCATGATCCATTTCCAAAGTAAAGCGGGAATACTAACACAGGAAATACAGTCACGTGCCACATAATGACGTTTTGGTCAATAACGGACCACATATATGACTTACGGTTTTCTAAGATTATATGATCTCATAAGATTATAACGGAGCTGAAAAATTTGTGTCGCCTAGTGATGTCATAGCCATCATAACGTCATAGTGCAACGCATTACTCATATGTTTATGGGGATGCTGGTGTAAACAAACTCTGAAGACCTTCCAGTGGAGCAAGATGTGGAGGTGGAAGATAGTAATATTGATGATCCTGACCCTACGTAGGCCTAGGCTATATTTGTGTCTTAGTTTTTTAACAAAAAAGTTTAAGAAGTAAAAAAAAATTAAAAATTTAAAAAATAGAATAAAAACATAAAATAAGGGTGTAAAGAAAGAAAATATTTTTGTACAGCTGTATGATAAGGTTTGTATTTTAAGCTACGTATTATTACAAAAGAGTCAGAAGTTAAAAAAAAAAAAGTTTTGAGCCAGCCCTGATGGCCTGGTGGTTAAAGTTCAGCACTGACCGCTTCAGCTGCCTGGGTTCACTTCCCGGTCATGGAACCACACCACCTGTCTGTCACTTGCCATGCTGTGGCTCACATAGAAGAACTAGAATGACTGACAGCTAGCATATACAACCATGTACTGGGGCTTTGGGGAGAAAAAAAAAAAGAGGAAGATTGGCAACAGATGTTAGCTCAGATGTTTCACTGCAAGAAAAATAAATTAATTAAAAAGTTTATAAAGGTGCTGGCCCAGTGACGTAATGGTTAAGTTCGGCATGTTCTGCTTCGGCAGTCTGGGTTGGCAGGTTTGGATCCCGGGCATGGACCTGCACCACTTATCAAGCCATGCTATGGCAGCAACCCACATAGAAAATAGGGGAACATTGGCACAGATGTTAGCTCAGGGCCAATCTTCCTCACTGTAAAAAAAAAAAGTTTATAAAGTAAAAATGTTACAGTAAGCTAAGGTTAATTTATTACTGAAGAAAGAAAATTTTTTTGTAAATTTAGCGTAGCCTAAGTGTATAGTATTTATAAAGTCTACAGTAGTGTACAGTGATGTCCTAGACCTTTACTTTCACTCACCGCTCACTCACTGACTCACCGAGAGCAACTTCCAGTCCTGAAAGCTCCATTCATGATAAGTGCCCTACACAGGTGTACCATTTTTTATCTTTTATACCATATTTTTACTGTACTTCTATGTTTAGATGCATAAATACCATTGTGTTACAGCTACCTACAGTATTCAGTACAGTAACACGCTGTACAGCTTTGTAGCCTAGGAGCGATAGGCTATACCGTATAGCCTAGATATGTAGTAGGCTATACCATTTTGGTTTGTGTAAGTACATTCTGTGATGTGTGCACAATGACAGAATTGCCTAACTGCATACTTCTCAGAACGTATCCCTGTCATTGTGACACATGACTGTATTATAATTATAAAATTCATGTTAATTTTAGTGAATAGAAAGACGAGGCAAAACAAATTGGTTTAAAACTTTGTTCGTTTTCTTTTTGATGCAGCTTTTTAAAAAAATTTTGTTTATCTTTTTTAAAGATTTATCGTGCTTTTTAATGAGGTACTCAGTAAAATGACAATTTGCTTATTGGCATAGAACAGGATAACTTCAATAATTTTATTTTTTACAAACCTGAACTTTCCAATTATTTTTTACCAGTTCACATAGTATTTTCACACAATCACTATAAAATCAGTATTCTACCACAGCATTGTTACAAGAGATGGTGATGAGCAACACTGGATTTAAGAAAATACTGTACTCCTTTGTTAAAATTTTACACTGATCTGATTACTTTAAATCGTGAGCCTGAACTAAGTTGTATTCATGACTAATTTAAATGAAAGTAATTTATATGAAAATATTTTGTACTTTAAACACAAAAATAATGTTTCACATCATGTATGGTTTTTGCCTATATATCTACTGATGACATTTGCTTTCTAAATTACAGTCTGCTGCAAATCCTGAGGCTCCAAACTCAACCATCTCCAGAGAGGCCAGCACCCAGTCCTCATCAGCTACCACCAGCCAAGGCTATGTTTTACCAGAAGGCAAAATCATGCCAAACACGGTTTTTGTTGGTGGAATTGATGTTAGGGTATTGTATTCCTATTTCATTTATTTTAAAAATATTTTGTGAATAATAGGATTTTGGCCCTATTGCAAACATAAAGTTTTTTTGTGCTTCATGCTGGTTTGGAATTGGTTTTACATTTAATCTATAGGGACTAAAAATACCTTTGACAAAGAGCTATGGGTAGTTTTGGGATACTGGGGGGAGATACTTCCACAGCATCAAACTTTTTTTATAGTGTAATTAAAAATTTTGAATGCTGAGTTTTTACTCTTGAAGTCAAATTCTTCTCTCTAGATGGATGAAACTGAAATTAGAAGTTTCTTTGCTAAATATGGTTCAGTAAAAGAAGTGAAGATAATCACAGATCGAACTGGTGTGTCCAAAGGGTGAGTAAAACATATGTTCAGTATAAATTGTAAAAAGTATCTAAACTATAGCATCTGTAGAGTGTCAGAGAAGAATTCAGAACTGGTAGTCTTACACTTGTATAAATGAAATTTGTTGCTTTGTTAATTTCTTTTATGTAGAGGATAGAAGTTTGCTGCCAGCTCTTTTGTTTAATCATTTTCCTAAGTGTTTGTATTTAAATATTTCCCATCTTTATTTATTTCACATAAGTGGATTAACCAGTTTTATCAAAGAATTGTTTTCTTCTCACATTTCACAATATCTTAAATTTTAACCATCTTACCATAGATAATAAATTAAATTCAGGTTCGTAGGTATGAATTTTCTGTTAATGATTGAGGTTCCCACACTATCTTTAATCTTAGTGCATTCTGACATAGATCAAGGTAAGAAAACAAAAAGCAGTAATATTTATAGAGGATCTGTCATGTACATCTTACAGATAGTTATCTCAGTATATTTTTCATCTTTTATCATTATCACTCTGTCAATTACTTCATAGAATACTGGAAGTTTTAAACCATGTACTGTTATAGTGGTGATTTTATACTTCATTTATCTGCCTTTCTAGCTATGGATTTGTTTCATTTTATAATGACGTGGATGTGCAGAAGATAGTAGAAGTAAGTAATCTTATGGAAAAATCTCTTAGTTTATGGATGCAATGTTTAATGTTGTTTGAGTCCTGAATATGTACTCAGTCTTGTATAAAATATAGAAATAGGTAGACTTCCTGTTTGAAACTCAGACTTAGAGTAATCTTATATAATTTGTCAGAAGATGGTTTTGGGTTTTTTTTGCTGAGGAACAGTCACCCTGAGCTAACATCTGTTGGCAATCTTCCTTTTTTTGCTTGAGGAAGATTCACCCTGAGCTAACGTCTGTTGCCAGTCTATCTCTCTTTTGTACGTGGGTTGCCGCCACAGCATGGCCACTGATGAGTGATGTAGGTCTGTGCCTGAGAACCAAAGCCAGGCCACTGAAGCAGAGTGCACCAAACTTAACCGCTAGGCCACTGGGGCTGGCCCCAGAAACTGTTTATTTTTGATTGGGCATCTAGCTTCATGAACTAGTGATAGGAAAGGTTAAAGACAGAGTGTAAAGGTTTTGGGTCAAATTCTGAGACACCTTGTGATGCTTGACTAGAGTACTGAGGGTAGGTAAGGTAGCTTCATGCTGATAAATTTTGATTTGCTATGTTCTTAACCACTGATCTTCTCTGATAGTAGGAATTTTAGAGGACTTGGGGTGTTTACCAAAGTCTTGGAAGTAAAGACTTGGAAATTGATTTTAATTTTGTACTGTTTTATTTTCAGTCACAAATAAATTTCCATGGTAAAAAGCTGAAACTGGGCCCTGCAATCAGGAAACAAAATTTATGTGAGTAAAGAAAGGAATTGTTCTTGTTGACACACGAAGCTTTTCAGAGAACTAAAAATAAGTTTTGTTTTCTTTTTATTCTTTAAAAAGGTGCTTATCATGTGCAGCCACGTCCTTTGGTTTTTAATCCTCCTCCTCCACCACAATTTCAGAGTGTCTGGAGTAATCCAAACACTGAAACTTATATGCAGCCTCCAACCATGATGAATCCTATAACTCAGTACGTTCAGGTAAGAATTACCTACGTGTCTGTTTTTTCATTTATTATAGTATCTGAGACTTATAGATGGGGGCACCCTAAAAGTAACCCAGTCTCACATTTTAATCCTCTGTGGAATTATATCCACAATTTCCATAATAAGTGATAATACTGTCCCTGTTTGAATACTTTGAGTGATGGGAAGTTTATTACTTTTGTTAGAAATCTGTCATTCTTAGCATTATTCCTTATACTAAGCTAAAATCTGCTTCTGTATAGCTAGGAAGTCTTTATCTTAGAACTGACCTCTGTAGCCACATACAATGTCTTTCTTCCCTTTTTTCCCCCATACGATAACTCCTTAAATATTTGAAGGCAGCTTTCTTCATGTGTCTGCCTGGCTTATTCTTCTCTAAGGTTAGCAGTTCTTCTAGCTATTCTGTGTTTGCAGTGATTTCCAGATGCTTCCTCATATGGATTGCTGACTTCTGGATGTATTCTGGTTCTAGAATGGATAGATTTTCTGATCACTTAACTATATTTGTAAATTCTGTGTGTTTCTGGCATATAATTTGTCTGGTCCTGGTTACTTTAATATTTGAAGTGGGATTTGGAATACTTACTATCTCCTGTTGATGATAAATAACGTTTATGTTGTTCTTAGTTCATTTTACTTTCTTTAGTTTGAAAGACATTTTATTTGCGGGAAAAGAAAGAAACAAAATAATAGTGAAATAGTCTGCAGTCTGTCTCCTGTGTTTACATTTTTCGTGTATCTGAAGTGTAGGGTATATCTTTTCCTATTTTTCTTGCTTTAAACATGGCTAGAAGAAAAGCCCCACTTGTTCCTAATGTATACTGTGAGCTATTACCTATTCTGGGTGTGTTCATGAATGTTACTACCTAGATTTTTTTCAATCAATATTTACTGAAAGATGTAAGACATTGTACTGTCTCTTTTCCAGGTTGGGGTTATATACGGCCCTTAACTTTTAGAAGTAAAATACAGAAAGAGCCATAAAGTCTGTAGAAAGACTATACGTTGACTATACATTACCCTATTATATTGTCAAAGGAACACAAAACTGCCTAAAAGTATTTTTACAAAGAAATAGCAGATGTATTAATATAACTTTAACATGGAAATCTATCCTAAAGGAGTTTTATCACCAGTGCAAGAAAGAACTTCAGGGTGGGGATAAATATACAAATAAGATAAACCTGTGCTGGCAAAATCAGTCACTTCCCTATTTATCCCTTCCCTCTCCCTGCCCAAAAGGCTAACATTTGACAAAGAGTATTTTTTTCTTCATGAAGCCAGTCACTTAAATAGAATCCTGCGTTGTATATACAAAAATAATGAAGATTTCTTCGCGTGTTTTTGTTATATTGGGAATAATATTCCTTCTCTAATTTTTAAAAATTTACCTTGTTAATCCATTTTTTCTGTAAACTTTATTTTCAGGCATATCCTCCTTATCCAAGTTCACCAGTTCAGGTCATCACTGGATATCAGCTGCCTGTATATAATTATCAGGTAATTTAAGAGAGAACAAAATGATTTCCTTTGGAATATTATTGAGACCTTTATTTATATAAATTCCCCTAATAGTTTGTCATTTAAACTGGTTGAGTGTGCCTAAAATTTAAGAAAAGCTTAGAATCTAGAGTCAAGGCCTTTATATTATTTAGAAATAAGGGAATGATATTTTGACAGGAATATACTTAGCAAGAAGTTTTCTCTTATACTGTCTTATAAGATTTGATGTTCCCTTCTTGTATTCTTCCATCTTCGCTGTCAAATAGCTGAAACGTCCAGGTTAACTTTCATAAATTTTTCTAGGGAGATGGGTTGAAATAAAATGATTACTCAATTCTTAGATCATTGAATTCCAGTTATATTGGATAGTGTTTATTTTAGCTAACTACTACAAGATAGGCATTCTCTGAATTTCTGCCCATAGATAGGACCACATCTATGGCAATAAATTCAGAGAACGACTATCCTTGAGTTTTCCTGAAAGCCAACTCCAGAAAATTGAGAAAAAAGTGGGTTTATATATGAAAGTAACAATAAAACCCTCACGTATTAGAAACATAAAGTACTTTTTTCTTTCATTCTGTTTATTTTATTATAACAGGTTCAAAGAGCCAGCATGACAAATACCTCAACATTGAGTATCTCATGTCTTTGTGAAAATGCATAGGAATATTTAAATAATTATTTCCCTTTGTTTTTTTAAGATGCCACCTCAGTGGCCCGCTGGGGAACAAAGGAGTTATGTTATACCTCCGGTAAGGTGAATTAGCCAAACATATACTATTCTTTATTTTAAAGTATTTTGTTGTTTAACTATAATGTATTTATCGACCTTTGCCATATCATGTATGTCTAGAAATATTTTTAAATGCCCTTTTACATTATGTGTTATGTTTTATTAATTTCTTGTCAACCCAAGTATATACTCCCATGGGGGAAACTGCTTTTTGTTTCTCAGGTTGTTTTTGTGTGCTTAAGCAGTGGCCGCTCTGCATGCAACAGGTGCTCAGTTACTTATTGATAGAATATATAATCCAAGGAAAGTAGTATTAATGTCTATGTTAATTCTAATTCTATAGATTTAGAATTACTATTGAATCTGCCTCTACTTTTCTACCCATAAAAGAAATCTGTTGAAGGGAAAGAAATGTTTTACTGTTAATATTGTTATATGTTATATAAGAAAAGGAATAAAGCAAAAGAGAGTGCTGCCTCTAAAACACCTGAGCCTTTGTTACTTTCTGTCTTTCATCAGGATTGGATATTTGAGAGATATGATATGAGTTAAAATTCTCAGGCACTGGGAAGTTCCCATTCGATTACTACATGTTGGAGTTTTTTTTTCTTAGAGCCCTTCTAATTCTGATTATGGTGAAGCTTAGGAAACATTTCAAGATAAAAGACTGCTTTACTGCATTTCAACTATTCAGCTTAAAATCAAGTTTCTGAAATAATGTAATTGAACTTCAACACAAACCATATTTAAACTTCCAATATCAGTGCACCATTTCAGAGAATGGATTGTTTAGAAATGTATCTAGTGTACGTTTCTTTAATTACACGTTTTTCATTTAAAATGTAGGCTTATACAGCTGTTAACTACCACTGTAATGAAGTTGATCCAGGAGCTGAAGTTTTGCCAAGTGAATGCTCAGTTCATGAAGCTGCTCCATCCTCTGGAAATGGCCCACAAAAGGCAAACATCTAATTTTGTTCATTAATATTTATATTTTCATTTTTTTTCAAGGTTCAATAATGGTTCTTTGAGAAGCAAGCATTTTTGCCCAAATTTAAATATGAAAGCCATAAATTACAGAGCTTTAGTAATTGATAATTCAGCAATTTATGTAAAAGTTGAAGAAATTTCAATATATACATGTACAAATTTCAATGTATACATATAATTTCTGATTCAGTAGTCCTTTCTTCCATTTTCATTTTTTTGTTTTTTTAACATACTTTAATAAATATTGTATTAACATGATTTGATAGAATGCAGTGGGCAGGTTTCCTCAAGAATTCTACTCTTCAAAAGAGGGATTACTATGAATTATATTTACTTGGTCTTTTACCAATTTAAACATTTACTTAGCTAAACAGTAATAAACGATTATTTACGGTATTCTCTCCATAACATTATATGTGGTAGCAGCTCTCAAGAGTGGTAGAGTTACTAGTATAATTGAATTACTGAAATAGGCAGAGTAGGTTTTTTTTTTTTTTGTCGTTAGAGCAGATTCCTATAATAACAATACTCTCCCTCTTGAATTCTCCTGTGTTTTCTTGAGTGGGTGGGAATGTGGAAGTAGTTGATGTGATGGGAATGTGCATAACATTGAAGAATTCCCATTGGAGTGTGTGAACTTGGTCCATGTGTTTCTGAGTGGAAAAAAATGTTGAGAACTACTGAACTATAGGGTGAAAAAATTCCCTGATTTGGTACATGATTTAAAATTTGAAAAAATAGCTTACAGTATGATATAATTATATTATCAGGTTTTATCCTGGATATTTTTTTCTTGAAACGTTGAAGTTCACAGTTTCTTATCTCACAGGAATAATTATAGAGCCTTAAGCAAATATATTAGGGTTTTACTAAATTGAGCTTTTTTAACCAATACTCTATCACTAAGGTTCTAATATATTTCTTAAATTTAGTACAAAAGTTACATTGTAAGTGACATGTGGTAAGAATTATGAATTACATAAGAATTCTTTAGAAATAAGCATATGTATTCATTAAACTTGTTTAAAAAGCTTGTTACAGTGAGTAAAAGGAAGAATAGTCTTTAGATTACTGAAAAAACTTCTGTATTTCAGAAATCTGTGGACCGAAGCATACAGACAGTGGTATCTTGTCTATTTAATCCAGAGAACAGACTGAGAAACTCTGTTGTTACTCAAGATGACTACTTCAAGGTATGAAAGGAATAGTATACAGGATAAAAAGCACATTTTGTCAGCTATGAAGCATCTTTTTTTCTTTGGTATATGTATTTTGAGATTACATAGAGCATTTAATTGAACTCTTAGCATTTGACTGTAACCCAGTAAACTACTGCAAGTGAGTTTTACCTAGCAGTGTATTTTATGCTGCTCAAACCTTGATATAGTGTAGTTTGTCCTTAGGGAAGAAACCTTTAGCAGAAGCTTATAATTGAAAGCGTTCACGAAAGAAGCGAGTTAAAAGAGAATATTGCCTTGACCAAATAGAAAAAGAAAATTTCAGATGCAGAAAGCAGAACTTACAAGTACATGGAAGAAGAGAAATCGATCACTCAGATGACGTACTTGAACAGTGTGGAGGGAGAAGAGGTAAAGTGAAGCAGTAAAAAAAAGCTGAATTGGAAGGAAATGAAAGTTGATTCCGAGTTGGTGAAATGGAAGAGATTGTAGGTGTTTGAATTTAAGAAAGTTTTGTTTCTGATCCTGGTTCTGTCACCTTGGACGAATCATTTAAATCTTATGAAGGATCCAGTTTTTACAAATCTAAAATGAGGAGACACAGGACTAATGGTCTCTAAGATCCTTTTAGTTCTGAGAATTAGTCTATGAATGTGGAAAGGAACTAACTGGTCGCTCCGGTGGGGAAAGGAATATTGTGCTTTAGTAAAGGGAAGTTTTTTGTTATTTTTTTATAACAGGTTTATTGAGATAAAATTCGCATACCATACAATTCACTCATTTGAAGTGTATAATTTAATACTTTTTAGTATATTTGCAGAGTTGTGCAACCATGACCACAGTCAATTTTAGAATATTTTAATCACCCCAAAAATAAACCCCTTACCCATTAGCAGTCACTCGCCATTTCCCCCTAACTCCTCTAGGCATGGACAACTACTTACCTACTTTCTTCAAGGATTTTCCTATTCTGGACATTTCATATAAATAGAATAATACAATAAGTGGCCTTTTGTGTCTGGCTCTTTTCACTTAGCATAATGTTTTCAAGGTTCATCAGTGTTACAGCATGTATCAGTACTTCATTTCTTTTTATTTATGGATATACCACATTTTGTTTATCCAAACATCACTTGATAGACATTTGGTGTGGTTTCCGTTATTTGGCTCTGATGAATAATGCTGTGACTATTTGTGTACAGGTTATTATTTGGACATATTTTTTATTTCTCTTGGGTGTATACCTAGGAGTGGAATTGCCGAGTCATATGATAACTATGTTTAACCTTTCGAGGAACTGCCAGAATTTTCCCAAAATGACTGCTCCATTTTACATTCAAAGGGAAGTTTTTAACCATTGCTTTGTGTCTTAAAACAGGGAAAGGAGAATAGCTTTTTTCCATCTATGAATGGACATAGGGTGAAGCTTAAAGCCTTTTTAAAGGGAATGCTAAGGACTTCGTATAATGCAGAAGAGTATACCAGTAGCAGGATTAAGTTATTACCATCTTCTCAACAGAGAGTAAACATATTTATTTAAAGTTGACATTAGTTCTTTTGTTGTTTCATTCTGCATAAACGGTACAATTTAAAAAGAAAGAACCTGGGTCGTATGACAGCTTACCTTGCCAGAGTTCTGAAGGTTAAATAGGTAGTACTTAATCCGATTTGTTTGCAAATCAGAAAATAGTCTTTAAACTTGAGTTTTCACCTGGTATTAGACAAAAGCCTCCCTTAGAATCTTCTAGGAGTTTCTGCTCCCCTGGGCTGGGAGTCAGAATTTGGTAGTCTGCAGTTGTCTGGCATCTAGACCTGTTTTGATTGGCTAAATGTTATTGTTGTGTTTTTTTTTTTAATTGAATTTGAATGCCTTGAGGCAGGGTATATACACTGTTTCCATGGTAAATTCCACTTGTTTTAATTCCAGCTCCTTCATAATCTTTTATATCCTACCTGACCTTTGAAGATAATTTGAGTTTGTGACCACTTTTCTGGCTTCAACCTAAATAGGATATTACCCTGTTGACAGATTACATAATTTCCAGAAGTCACCCTTCTTTATATGACAGTTGAATTTAATCCCTAGGAAAAGGACACAGTTAAGCTAAATATGTAGAGAAGAAAGTCCTCATGTTATTACTGGTTTACTCAGCTCCATTCCTCTTTATAAGGCCTCACTTCCTTCTGTCTGCACATCTGTAGGCAACATAAAGTGAAAAGAAATTTTTGCATATATTTTTAACTTTTCTGTTCATTTCCTAAAGAATGATAAATCTTCATCACAAATTAAGGATATGCCTTTAAATATGCCAAAACTTTTATCTTTTAACCTTAAAAGCATAGGATTTCAGATCGAAGTGGAGTGCTATTCTTAAAGCTGTGTTTCTACCAGATGCACTTGTTAGTAAAAGCAGTACTTTTTTAAATGACATGCATTTTCCACCAGCTGTCTTTGGGACGTCACTGCCAAATCATTAATTAAGAAGCTACATAAAATGATATCTAAGTCCTCTGTTTCTGAGTTTACCGAGATTTCTTTTTTTAAAAATTGTTGAATAAAACTAGTCATCGGTACATTTGATATCCCAAAGTTTAGGAATGCTTCCTAAAAATGATCACTTTTTCCTCATTATTTATATTTTTTAAACCCAAAATAAATGCTTTAAGTATTTTGCAACTCACTTAGGTCATAGTGATAATGGGAAATTTTCAATGAAGTAAAAAGGACTTTCTGTCTTTTCTAGGATAAAAGAGTGCATCACTTTAGAAGAAGTCGGGCAGTACTTAAATCTGTTTGATCCTCTCTGCTGACTTTCGAGTCTCATGGGAAGTTGCTGGTTTTGAGTATTAAGAGACTGAAAGTGTTTCACTATTATAGAAATTTAATTCTGAATTTTGATAAATCACACTCAGACTTTCTATACAGGTTGTATTAGATTGCCTAGTTTTATTTTACATTGAAACTGTTTTTCATTAGAGTGTTTATTTAGAAACTGGTTCTGTGTTGAAAATATAGTTAAAAGTAAAAAATAATTGAGACTGAAAGGAATAACTTTAAAAATTATCTGTAAGGACTTTTTTTTTAAATTGAAATTGACATTTTAAGAGTTTAAAAGCAAATGCTGATTTTCAAAAAATTATTTTAGAAAACCTACTATTTTGAAAGGTCAGAATTTTGATAGTTTGAGTACAAGCATTTCACTTCTCCAACAAGTACCTGTGAGCAGTACAATATTTACAATATTGTGCTTTACATTTATGATTTGTCTAGAAATTTACAACAAAAGCAGAGTTTTAAAACTGCATTTTTAATCAGTGGAACTCAATATATAGTTAGTTTTATTGAAGTTTTCCCTATCTAAACCCAGTAAAACAGGTTCTAAACTAACAGTCCAATCAGTGGGTCTTACATTTATTAGTTCAAAATATTTTATCTTTTATCTAGAATTCACACATAGATATCCTATTTGATTGAGATGGTAATTAGGATAACTAAAATTCTAGGCCTAATTTTTTTTAAAGAATCCAAGACAAACTAAACTTTACGAGGTATATAAGCTTCTCAGTGAGTTACCATTCTCCTTTTTTTCTTTTAATTTTATTTTTCCTTGAAATGCCAAACTCAATGGCTGTATCTTAAATTGTGCAAAATATTGGTATTAAAGAATGCTGAAACTTTTTTTATGTCACTTAAAGGTTAATCAGAGTATCTGAAAGGAATTGTCTTTATAAAAACATTAAAATATTAGTTATTTGTTAAAGAGCAGATAGATTTTTATTTTTGTTTGTTAGACCATTATATTTCCTTTTTTAAAGTAAAATATGTCCAGGAGACTTAAAGTAATTTTGGCGTTTCTAAATCACAAAAGTTGTTTAGTAAGCATATCCCAAGAAACTATTAATAGAGTCAGAGTTAACAGTCCATTTCTAGATTAGCTGGTCTCCTCGTTAGACATTGTATATCGTAACAGACAACTTAGAGCACCTGGAGCCCCTTGGCTGTACCCACAGTCTTGCTTTTCCAGTTTGTACCACCATTTTTGCAGATTTGTTCCAAGAACAGGTGATGTGAAGAAGAGAAGTAGCAGTATGAGAAGTTTGAGGGCTAAGCCTTGGAAAGGGTTAGTAATGGAATAATACCTGCCATGGACATGAGTTTAAAGTGGCTTCCTGGCCTTTCTTTCATTGGCTCCTTCACTAAAACGTGGAGACTCCATTTATCCCTAACCTAATGCAGCGACCATGGGCTGTTTCATCAGTGCCCATTGTTGTTTTATAATTCTTAATAATTTTCATTCTGAATCTGAAGAGTCTTTTAACTTAAAGATCCCCAAGAAGGCTTTCTTACGCTTCAGAATTTGCAAGTGCACTGAAATTTGTCCTTTTTAAAATTCTCTATACTTTTTTGTGTGTGCTGTAACATTCTTACACGTATCATTCTGTGATTAAATCTCCAGGTTACTATAAATGATACCTAAATTCTAAAGAGACTATTATAATTATCCCAGTATGACTTTAAGAAAAGTAAGGGAATAAACTTTTTATTTGTGTATTTTGTTGGACTGAAGTACTTAAAAGAGTAAGGTAGAAAGAGAGACAAAGTCCTGAACCTTTCAAAATGGAAAATTAATTTTAAACTTAAAAGCACGTTCCTGTTACCTATTGCTGATACTGTCTTTGCATAAATGAATAAACAGAAATAAAAAACGTTTTTTTTCTGGAAGTGTTTTTGACTGACTTATTCATGTTATATTATCTAAGGAGAAGTGATGGGGAGTTGGGTGGGTAGTATGTAACAAGGTTTAGATCCTTGAAATTCAAAAGTATAAATGCTGTTCAGTTTGTTAATCTGGTGGAATTAGTTTATAAAAGCAAATTTTGGTACATTGTATTTTTATTGCTTTCTCTTAGGAAACTAAGAGAGAGGTTCTCGTGAGAAAATAATCCCTCTTATATTGAGTTGGAAATGGTTAACAGTGGGTTCCAGTGCAGTGCATCAATAGAGCAGTGCCGGGTAGGAATCCTGGAGAGTTGTATGTGATTCTGCAATCTCAGGGCCAAGGTCCCTCTCATTTTGGACTCTATAAACATTTTGTCTGCTGTACACTTTGGGCCTAATCTCTGTGACCCTTTTATTTTGGAGTATTGGAGTTGTTGATAATAGAGCTTAGATTTTTCATATTGCGTTTACTTCATATGAGGGGGCATCCGAAAGATCAGTACTCACCACCTCTTCCAGTTGTAGCTCCAGTACTCCCAGTTCTTTTATAAACGGAGGCCATAGGAGAGGAAATTCTTTCCTTTGGACATTCCTGTGCTATATATTTCATAACTGACTCATCACCAGAAAATTTATTTTGATATCAAGGTTCTGCAAGATAAAAAAAGAGCACCTTCTGAATCACCAAAGGTTAAATTTTGATTTTTCAAGTATGATAAATTGCTGAAGATTAGTAATCTGTAAATGTGCGTGTGTGTATGTATACACACGTACTTACATATTAATCATTATCCAGAACCTTTGATTAGCCCCGACCAAGCTAAATAACAGTTTATAACATTTTGAGACCCCCAGCTAGACTACATATATCTTAAACAGTTGCTTTAAACCAACTTGATATTTTAAGCATATTTGCAGCTGAGGATTACCATGAAGTTCTTGACACAAAACCACGTCTTGGGGATTGAAAGAGAAATTTCATGCAGCACTTTTTTGTAAGAAGTTGCAAGTTATGGCAAAATCAATTGACTCCAAAAAGGTTGGTTACTCCTATAAAAAATAAAATTCTGCATGCTTTTTTTCTTTTTATGAGAACGTGTTACCTTCATAATTGTTCAAAATAGCTATTCAATATTGATTAGCACCCTTACTGCAAGGAAATCATCGACGTTCAAAAATAAAGAATCCGGGGCCAGCCCCGTGGCTTAGCGCTTAAGTGCGCGCGGTCCACTGCTGGCGGCCCGGGTATGGATCCCTTACGCGCACTGACACACCACTTGTCTGGCCATGCTGAGGCGGTGTCCCACATACAGCCACTAGAAGGATGTGCAACTGTGACATACAACTATCTACTGGGGCTTTGGGGAGAAAAGGGGGGAAAAAAGAGGAAGATTGGCAATGGATGTTAGCTCAGGGCTGGTCTTCCTCACAAAAAAAGAATGAATCCACAGCAGTTCCCTGTAGTTGTAAAACCCTCTACCCACTTCTCTAAAATTCTCTTGGTTGTCTTTAAAGGTAAACTCATAAAAATGGGCTGCCACATTGCTTAATCCTCTTGCCTGCTTTCATTACTGTCGTTTGAGGGTAATAAGGAACAGCAGCGAGAAGGCAGCATGACACTGTTGTCTCAGAAAGGCAATAGAGAGGGTGGGGAACCATAAGGGAGAGAAAAGTGGCAGTATTTTCCATTGACCAAGTCTTGTAAATAGGCCCAGCTGTTGAGTATGATCATTTGGAATCCCTGAAACGCTGCTTCTAGATGAGGATTGCGCCTATACATATATTGATAACTACGTAATCTAGCCCTTCACAGCATTATGTGTAATATGTCTCTCTGTGTGTAACTGAATCTCTTTGAGCAATTCCTCACCACCCATCAAAGACTTGAGTTTTCCACCTGTAGACAGTACGTTTGGTGGTAGAAAACAGTAAACATAAGAAGTTCAAACTATAAACATGCGTTTTTGAAAGCTCATGCAAAATATTCAATCTGCATAGCAAAGAAATGATAGGTAATTCTACGTTGCATTTAGAGTTAAAAACATCTGTCCAATATGGCTGTAGCTGTGGGCCAATCCCAAGGAAATGCAAAAAATTGTCTCGTTACAGAAGTGGAAACTACCACTGTACGATTAAACTCTATGGTAGCTGTATTTTAACATTTTTAACTGGTCCGAAGCAGAAAGTTTTCCAGTTGAGTCTCTAGTTCATTTTCCCAAGGCGCACGGAAGCTTTGTATTTTATGTGCACCTCCATTAAGGCTGCATGCCAGGAATATGCCTTTTTCCCACATATAAAATTCTCAGATATCAGTTCACTAGGTCTTTAACAATAGAACAAATGCTTGCGTGGCTGGGATATTGGGGTCATGAAAGCTGTTTATAAATTTGAAGTAATACTAACATTTCAAGCAGTTCAGAAAGTTGGATGTTTTATAATCCTTAATCAGTTCTTTTTTACAGAAAACAAATCCAGCACAAAGTACATTGAGGCTCTAATCACATCTATTGTCTTTCCCCAAAATAAAATGGATACAGATACACTCTATTCTGGTTCAATCTTGGATGAAACTATTTACTATTGAAGAAAGGTGGGGCTGACACTCCTCTGGTCTGCATTAGTACAGCCAGAGCAGCTCTTTACAGTGGGCATGTCCCCTCTCCCTTACATGCTTGTTGAAAATTTTTAATATTACCCACCATCCAGAATAAATCTGGCTGGACCCTGGACCAGTGAGAATGGAGAGGAATAATTTAAAATACTGAGGCCGTTTTCTCTCTGTTTTTATCTAAGCTGATCTGTTTGAGCTACTGCACAGTGCAAATAAAATTTGAACAGTTTTTAAGTAGTAAACCTGCTAGATAATAGTACACCTGCACTTTTTGTTCTGAGCGTGGCTTGGTTGCTACTCATTCTGGTTGGTCGCGTGTCTGTCCTTGATAAAATAAAAACCCATCACTCACCATTCAAAGTTATATCCATGATTTAATCAGCCCCTTATTTGATAGGGCAAGTGTTCTCAATGATACAAATCTCACAGGGAAGTCAAATAACAGAACCATCATCTGGGGTGCTTTTCAGAGACGCCGACTCCTTGGCCCCATTCTGTGATGCTCTTATTCTGTAGATCTGAGTGGGCTCAGTAATCTGCATTTTATTAAGTCCCTCAGGTGATTCTGATCTCTGCAACACTCATTCTGAGAAATACTGTCCAAAATGGGGATCTCTCAGTATATCCTCTCAGGCGACCTCTGGTTTTGGGATAGTTGGGTTTGGAGAACAACCCCATCAGGTCCATTTTAACTTCTGTAAGAGATGTTGCTGGTTTAATTCATCTTTCCCTGCGAAGCCCGTGCCAGGAGTGCCAGTTGACCATAGGCAGGGGTGACTCAGGAATAGGCTGAAAAGTGGACCAATGAAGTCTGAATGCCAAGCCTTGTGGCCAAAAACAAATGGAAAGAGAGAGTGACTGTGGGAGAAAAGCTGGATTCCAAGACCAAGTGCAGGCAAGCCACCCGTGAGGGACTAGGCTTGGCGGGGAGAGGCACAGTGGGCGCTACAGAGGCAGAGACACCTGGCGCCTGGGGGGAGAGCTATGCCTTTGGCCCACTTGGCAAATTTTAAAAACAGCTATCACCCATGGCTTTTAGAAAAGTATGGCCTGTCATTGCTCCTTTCCCTGACTTGGAATTAACTAATATGTCTTATATCCTTCACGAGAATAATGATAAATCAATATCAAAAATAATATGTTAAAAAATCAAATTCCAGAGACAGTCTTGGGCATGTTGAGATCCATATTGTGTTTGTATGTGTATTTAACAATTCACACACAATTCATGCGAAAGTATAAAAATAAGTATACCTTTAAAGAATAAGAAAATACCTGAATTAGCGTAAGAAACAGAACATCACATTAATTTACAAATTTTCTATGTGCCCTCTCTAATCACACTCCT